TCTTCTCCTTGTTTCGTGCTACTGGCGGTCGTCTCTCTCTCTCTCTCTCTCTCTCTCTCATTTTTTTTTTATTTCGCGAATGAAGAGAAGCCGATAGCAGTGTCGATCGTGACCGTTCTCATAAATGTAATGAGTTCGAGTTGCTAATGATGGCGCGTTGATAATCATAGACATAGTTCGAAGGAGTGTACGAGGTGTGTTCTGGTTGAGCAATCAATAATCTTTAACACTGAAATCACGACGTCGGTCAATTTGCTTCTGGCCTGATTCAACGACTTGTGTATTCCCTCTCTCTCTCTCTCTCTATCTCTCTCTCTCTCTCTCTCTTCATTAACTGCTCCAGGCAAATCGCTTCCATTTATGCTTTACGATCGACTAAAGAAAATCGTGAGCAGGCTTACGATTGTGTAACGCCCTCTTAACGCCCTTCTTCTTTTAATTTTTTTCTTCCTTTTTTCTTTTTTTTTCTTTTTTATAATCATTTTCTGTCTCTGTCTCTCTCTCTCTCTTTTTCTTTTCATTCTTTCTTCCCCTTTTACAAAATCGATTCGTTTCAATCGGTCAGGTGATCGTCTTTGAATTATTCCGCCTTAATCTTCGAATCCTGGACTCTTGAAACGGGTTCGAACGAGTGGAAGTAGAATGCCAAGGACGGACGATGCTAGATAATTCTATGGTGTACGAGAGCCTTTGATAAATCTACGAAGAACACGCGAATAGTTTATGAATTTTACAGGTAAACCTTGGTTATAAAGAGATATAGATAAAAAGAGAGAGAAGAGAGAAAGAGAGAGATAAATAAATAAATAAATAGATAGATAGATAGATAGATAGAGAGAGAGATATAAAGAGAGAGAGAGAGAGAGATAGAATCTCTTGTAAATCTAACGAAAATCCTATAAAAGATTTATATCAAAGAGGATACTGTACGTTTCCTATAGGCATTGATTAAAATCCAAGTATAGTGGTAACCAGTGTTGGCATTAATACATGAACGAAGTATAATGTATTTTATAGTAGAAGTAGATCGAAAATTATCCTTTCTTTTGAAAGCGGCTTAAATCTTTACCGTGAATACTTCGGTAAGTAACTTCCAAAAAGAAAAACAGAGGAAATCTTTCTCTCTCTCTCTCTCTCTCTCTCTCTCTCTCTTTATCAATCTTACCAAGACAACGTCCTCTGAATGTCGTTCAGTGCCGATTCCGCAGACACCATAGCAGTAGCTGACATAGGAGTAAAGATACGAAGAAGGTAAAACGAGTGAGTGAGTGAGTGAGTGAGTGAGTAAATAAGTGAGTGAGTGAGTAAGTGAGTGAGTGAGTGAGTGAGTGAGTGAGTGAGTGAGTGAGTGAGTGAGTGAGCGAGCAAGGCTCGTGCCCTGCCCGGTGACTGAACTCACACCGCATTTTGCTGAGCGTTCGCACACACGCACACCCACGTAAACAGTGTAAAGAGAGACCTACGGAGGTGGAACTCTCATACATAGAAAATCTTTTACGGATACGATGAACGAACCGAACGTTCTTCGAAGAACTGAGAATCTCATCGGGAACTCGCCATTGCCGGAGAACTCGAATTAAGATGCATCTTCTGTAAGTGAAACAGTCTGATAGTGAGAGGGAGATATGAACAGAGAGAGAGAGAGAGAGAGAGAGAGATGTGTGTATGTTTTTGTGTACGTTTTGTCCGTGTATGTCCATGTATGTGTGTGTATGTGTGTGTGTTGCTGATGACTTCCGTTACGTTCTTCACAGAAGAGTAACATTCGTTCGTATCGACGAATACAAAGAGGAAACTCCTCTTCTTCGAGTCCCCTCAACGCTTTTCGAAACCATCGAGATATACGAGTGAGCAGTTTGGCGCATGAAAGGATAAGCTGCTCGACTATACATACACATTAAATACATATATACATAGATACGGAAAGCGAGGTTCGCGACCCGTTAGACTCTTCTTCGTATAAGTGTCTCTCTCTGTGTGTGTGTGTGTGTGTATGTGTCTGTGTATGTGTATATACATGTTACAATCGCTCGAAGAAGAACACTCGAGGTCCACTCTATATAGTAAACTCAAGAAAAAGTTGTGCTTTCGTGCCGGCCCAAGTACGAGTATTGCATCCAACTGACTTTCGAGTTTTAGCTTCGGCTAAAACTTCAAATTAAATGACGAACGTGAAGGAGACGAGAACGTGACGTGACGAGACGAGTTCATCTAGTCGGTTGATTTACGTTATCTTGTTAATTTCAATATAAAATAAGTTTCTATTTACTTACCTTGTCTTCGCAAGTCTTGTGACAGATGTATTTGCATACTGAAAGTAAAAGGAGATTTTTATTAAAATTGACACGTTTGAGTAGATTCATCATTGGGATTATATAAAGAGATTTCTTTTTCTTTATTTTTTTTTTTTTTCTTCTATCATTGATCGAAAATATTAGTAATTACATTTTTTTTGTTCGAAGATAAAAGAAAAAAAAAATGAAAGGCAAGAAATTTTGAATCCCTTTAATTTTTCGCGCCTATTTTAATCTTTTTTACCAACGATCGATTGAAACGAATAATACCGACTACGTGTCTCTCTATTACCGAGACTCTTACAGTTCACGACTTTATCGACTCACCTCTACAGCACGACGCTTGCTTGATCACCGCCTGATGGCACAGATGACAAGGTCGGGGCTTGCGCAATTGCTTCGTTCGGAACACGTGACACTGAGGTTCAAAGTCACTCTGAAATAGAAAAAGAAATGAAGTAAGAAAGATTAAAATTATAGATGATTAATTACGAAGAACCGTAATGAATATCGGACGACGACGGGATAAGAAAAAAAAAAAAAAATAAAAAAAAAAGAAGAAGAAGAAGAGTGAAAGGAAAGACGTTGACGAAAAAAAGAGAAAAAGAAAAAGGAAATAGAGTCAGGCAGACTTCTTTTAAAAATTCTTGAAGTCTAAATTATTTTTTTTCCTTTTTTTTCCTTTTTCTTATTTCTCTTTTTTTTTTTCTTTTTTTTCATTTTAAAATCACATTTTCTTTCGATCCATTTGAATCTGACGACTTCGAGGTTGCTTCTTTTTAAGTGAAAAAAAAAAAGGAAAAAGAAATGAAAAAAAAAGAAAACAAATGGAACGATTTTGTAACATTTGATCTATTTCTTTCTTTTCTCTTCAAAAATAAATCCTATGTCTTTTAATAAGTATCTAATTTGTCTTTAAAATCTCGACTGCGTGAGAAACTGAATGTTGCAAGGATATTGGGTCGAGTGAAATCGTAAGAGCAATTTGTCCAACGTTATTACCTGTCCGACTGTTAACGTTGTCATGTAAAGAAGAAAAAAAGAAAGAAAAAAATATAAAAAACGAAAAAAAAAAAAAATAAAAAAGAAATAGAAAAGAAAAATACGCGAATACAAAAGTCAACTTGTTAAAACAACGGAGTTTAACGGAGCCGTAAGATCGACAATGGCGGCATTGGGAAAAGGCACGGTTCGGAAAGTTATGTACAAGCAAGCTAGTAAGCAAGCAAGCAAGCTAGCAACCAAGCAAGCAAGCAAGCAAGCAAATGCCCGCGGCGGCATCTACGATCCATCCCATGGGTGCACGGTTTGCAATTATAGTCACGCAAAGCTTCGATCTACCATGAGAAGTGAATACCCTATGGTTTCACCCACATCCAACGGCACCCATCTATCCATCCATCCATCCATCCACCAATCCATCCATCCATCCATCCATCCATCCATTTATCTATCTATCTGTCCGTCCATTTATACATCCCGAATTCCCAGGGAACAATCGAGGACGAGACAACTGTCAGTCAAATTTTCTTTCTTGGCCTACTTGACGTTTAAGATATACCTATATTATTCTATGTGAACGCAAAATTATCCATGGCGAATGTATAAACGAATGAAGATCACGACATGCAATATAAAATCATACGATAATACGAGATTTGTTTAATAAAAATTTTATTTACCGATAAATTGAACCCTATATATTATTATTATTATTATTATTATAGTCTTGCTTTTTTTTTTTTTTTTAGAAATTTATTATATTTAAATAGATGGAATTGAATTAATATGAGGGATATATAATAGAAAATAATAATGATATCATAAAATGGAGCCATTGTCTTCATTTATCTTTGATAAATGTATCAAGTCGTATATTACTAATGAAATATCTTAGAACGATGGTATCATTAATATATCTTAATCATAAGCTTTGTCGGAACACTTCCCCTGTAATTACGACGTCACGATCTCCAGAGAGAGAGTAACGAGAACGGAAAGAAGGCGAGTTTCAGGTGCGACTACTATGCATATATATATATATACATATATATATATATATATATATATATATATATATATATATATATGGTGTTGGAACGTACATAGATGCTTTTTAAATCCCGTCCTCTTTTCGTTGATCAGTAAACCGTAACGTTACATACGAAACGCATTCCGTATTATCTTTCTCTCTCTTTTTCTCTCCCTTTTACTCTTTCTCTCTCTCTCTCTCTTTCTTTCTCTTTCTTTTTATCTTTCTCTTTCTCTCTTTCTCTCTCTCTCTCTCTCTCCCTCTTTCTATATCTCTTTCTTTTCTATTCGCTCTTTCGTATCCCTTTCGTTTCTTCGCGAGTGTAAATGGCAATAAATCGTTATTACCCCGTTCGTTATGAAAGAAAAAAAAGAAAAAATGACTAAAATTACGCAAGAGACCTTTATGTAGGCAGGTCTTCGAACACATAAAAGTACGTACAATTCGTTGCAAATCATTTCGCGTTAAAAGTCCTTGCATTTATCTTACTAATCCTCTCATCTAATCGACTATATATATATGTATATATGTATATGTGTTTATGAAAGACCTTTGACATCACAGCGAATGAATAGTCACCGTTGATCACGGACAACTAATTGATCTCTAATCTTCGATCGAATCGTGCAGGACACCTTCTCCTCCTCCTCCTCCTCCTCCTCCTACTCCTCCTCCATTCTCCTTATCCATCACCTCCTTCTTCTTATCCTACTCTTAGTTCGAACTTCGACTTTTCGCTTTCATCTCTTTCCGAGGGTAAAATTATTGCCTTAACTTTAAAATGCCTTGAACTGACCCGACATTTGCCTTCGACTGTCTATTTTCTTTTTTGTTTTCTTTCGTTTGTACTTTTATTCGTATTATTATTATTATTATTATTATTATTATTATTATTATTATTATTATTATTATTTATTTTCTTTCTTTTTTTTTTTTACATCTTTTAAACTTTCGTTTCAATTAATGAGCTATCAAATGTGCAATAAACCTACTGGCTTAAATTTCCCTATCATTGGGAATGTAAAGGATGAAAGGAGTAAAGGGGTAGTAAACGGTACAATCTTGAAGTAACATTAAATTCTTTTTACGAGAAATCATATACTAGTATATAAATAAGATGTCGGTGTAATAACAGTCGTTGTAAATCCTTATAGTTATATACGTATATACGGTAATTTCGTTAAACAGTAAATTTATTTTTTCAATTGTTAAAACAAATCGAACGATTTTAATTTTTGGAAATAATGAATTGAAATACATCTAAAAATAATCCAATTATTAATGGTTTATAATGTCACGTAATATACAAATAACATAATCATATATTTATGTGATTATTATATTATCTTGTATGTTTCGTCATTTTCTATTGTCAATCGCAAACATAATCATTGGTTAAAAATTCACTAAGTTTTGAGAATAATTGTATTTAATTTTCCTTTTTTCTCTTTTGTTAAATTAATAAATTATGATCGAAAGCATTATACGAGCGATAGTTTTATTTTCGCGATATTTTTATTCCTGTCTATTTCCGTTTCTTTCTTTTTTGTTTTCTTTTCTTTTCTCTCTTTTTTTCTTTTTTTCTCTTTTTCTTTTCTTTTTTTTTAATCTTCTTTTTTATTCGATCAAACTTAACGACGAATCTCAACTCGTCGATGATTAAAATCCGCAACTGTTTGAAACACAAAACCGCAGGGGGTAGAACACGTCGAGTTAATAAAAAAAAAAAAAAAAGGTCGATCAATGTATCCGATATATCTTTAACCGGTCGGGACGATTTAACGTCGCTTTCGATATAATTTACGACGACGGCTATCCTCGGAGCTATAACAAAGTCATCCGATCGAATCATCGTAAGGATCTTGAGAAGATTAATTCGTTGAAGAAACGCGATCGTATCGCGAGAAAGACCGAACCGCCATAAACTCCAAAGGGTTTTAACGGTTAAAAAGATAGGAAAGGGTTGTACTTTTCTCTCTCTCTCTCTCTCTCTCTCTTTCTCTCTCTTTCTCTTCATTCTTTTCCTTTTCTTTTTCTTTTTCTTCTCATACTTACGGTTCATTAATGAGACAACCGGTCATCCTGTTAATCATAAGATCAGGAGCAATCACCGACGCCAACGAACGAGTTCAAAGCTCTTACGAGTGATTCGAGTGGAAGTAAATGCGTTCAATGTCGGTATGTTTGCGTTCTTAAGTCTCTACCGATTTGTAGTGCTAAAGAGAAAGAGAAAGAAATAGAGAGAGAGAGAGAGAGAGAGAGAAAGAAAGAGTGAGGGATAGAGGAAGGGATGAGAAGGGGTTGGCGAACAGAAAGAGAGAGAGCGAGAGAAAGAGAGAGAGAGAGAGAGAGAGAGAAGGTATGCAGAAGAAGAGCAGGAACAGAGACGGCTTTGTCGGGTTCTGTTTGCGCTTTGACTCGAAACACTTCGACTTGCATTAACCACGAAGATACAAAGACAAGAACCCGCGTAGTTTGCTCGTACCACTTCATCTCCTTCTGTATCTCTCTTCTTCTTCTTCTTCTTCTTCTTCTACATCATCTCTCTTTCTCTCTCTTTCTCTCTTTCGCTCTCTCTCTCTCTCTCTCTCTTTCTCTCTCTCTCTCTCTCTCTCTCTCTCTCTCTCTCTCTCTTTTATTTTACTTTATGAATTCTCTGTACAGTTTGATGTACACACTACTCGCTCTTACTCGCTACTACTTCCTATAACATTTCTCGCGGGAAAAGCTTTTATCATTTACTCGAACTTCTCTAATAATTTTCATTCCATATAATAAATATATGTATGAGAGAAGAGAAAATATATTTTATTATTGATCGTGACTTTAATAGTTGATGTTAGGATTATAAGGGAAATAATTTATTTGTTTCTCTTGCCTTCGGTAATATTCGTCTCTATTAATTTCGATATTATCCAAGATTATAATAATTAAAAAGGAAAAATATATTATATATAATAATAATAATAATAATAATAATAATAATAATAATAATAATAATAATAATAATAATAATAATAATAATAATAATAATAATATATTAGGTGGACCGGAAAGTAATGTCGTTTTTGCGCATGTCGATATTTCATTATGATTAAAAATAAAAACCTGTTAAAAATTTATTCATTTGAATTTAATTTAAGAAAGCGACATTACTTTCCGGTCCCACTAATATATATATATATATATATATATATATATATATATATTATTTCGAGCTGAAATTATTTTATATTTCTTCGTAAGGATTAAAAAGAAAAAGGGAAAGAAAAAGCAATATGATCATTAATCGAATATGAATGGAAATTAAAAGAGGATATGAGGGTTCAATATGGCGTCAGAGAGAGAGAGAGAAAGAGAGAGAGAAAAAAAAAAGTTCATTTTTCATAGAGAAAATGGTTCGC